TGCGAGGAAGCCTGGATCTCTGTCACTTGAAGGTGTCACCCAGAGGAACAACTAGTGAGGTGGAGCCAGGGTCCGCTCGAGTTTTGGGAACGCCACATCACCTCGTCTCCTCTCCAGCCAGGCAGACCCTGCCAGGAGGGCGTGGGCAAAGCGTGCGACCCGAGGAGCGCGGCATTCTTAGGAGAATGGTGAGTAGCAGGATTGCTGGCTTTTGTCCATTGTGCAGCTAAAATCATGCAGTGATGTTTAATGTTCTTGATTCTAGCTGAGCAAAGGACCACAGCCTGGTGACCATAGGACATTCCCAGCAGATGAGGCAGCCTCCATTAAAAAGCGACATGGATTCTCATCCCCAGATGTCTGAAAGATAAGTCGAGGGCTAAGGCCCACAGAGGGGATGAAAGCAACGTGCTGGGAGGGCCTTTTGAAACAGCTTCGGGGTCAGGGATGTTTGAGAAGTGTCCCCTTAGGCCCTCTAAAGGGAAAGTGTCTGTTTTGATCACAGTGCTGAGGTGCACTGGGCAGAGCAGTTCTGGTGTGTGTCCTGTCACTTGTCTCTGGTGCACTCTGTGTTGTTTGGGTCTCTCGGTCCTTTCTTCTCATCAAAAGCTCTCTCTCCCTCTCCTGTCCCCTCATTTGTCAGGTCCTGTCCCGTGTCACGGGTGTCCTGTCCTGTCTCCCGGAGCTGCTCTGCCCTGCTGCCTAGCCTGTAATAGCACAAGTCCTGGGGACTGGAAATTGGTAATGCAGGGTGTATTTGAGCTCTAGATTGTATTAGGAGATTGATGTAAGATGTCTGGTGCTGTTAAGTTGTCTTGCAGCCTTTTAACACTAGTCCTAACATCCTTTCAGATGCAGACAGTTCAAATCAGTGGCAGAGAGCCCCAAACCTGGGTGAGGAACTTCCATGAACCGGTCAGTCATTGTTTGCATTTGCAGGGGAAGCCTAAATGGTGACTGTGTGACAGCAGTGTTCTTTGCCTCTGTTTTTATGAGGTCCAGGCAGATAGCAGCAGTCAAGGCCCAGTGTGCCAGGTGAGCAGTGGACAGAAGCAGTTGTTTTTGCTCAGGTCTCAATGTTTGGTGCAACTCTAAGCATCCATTCTTGTTTTTGTGCTTTAGGGAATCCTCTCAGGGTGCACATACCTCTGTCACCAACTGGCTGAAGGACCAGGTTTCATGCTCTTGTGATCTCGCTGGAAGCATTGCAGGACCCTGTGATGGACCTCCCAGTTTTGCTTTTCAAGGTCCCATCCTGGTAGCTCAGAGGAATGGCCGAGGAGTTGCGGTGAGTCGGGAAAGTCGGGAGGAGGAGTGAGAGTCCACTCATGTTTGAGCAACGCCGTGTCGCCTTGTCTTCACTTAACCTAGGTGTACCCTGCAATGACGGCGTCAGAATCCAAGCATGCCCGACGCGTGCAGGCCAAGAACCCGGGCATTCTGAGGAGAATAGTGAGTAGCAGAATTATCAGATTTTGGTCGATATGCTGTTAAGACTGTGCACTGATGTTTGGTTTTCTTTCTCTTGGCAGACCAAGAGGTGACAGCCATAACTTACCAGACAGGGAGATGCCCTTCTTCTGCAGCCAACGGGGATTTGCATCCCCAGATGAGTGCAAGATAAGTGGAAGGTTATGACCCACAGAGGGGATGGAAGTGGGGTGCTGGGTTGGGACTTTCTAGAAAGGGTTTTGATGTCCAAGAAGCGTATACTTAGTCCACCTAAAGGGAAAGTGTCTGTTTTGCTCTCAGTGCTGAGGTGCGCAGGGCAGAGCAGTTCTGGTGTGTGTCCTGTCACTTGTCTCTGGTGCACTCTGTGTTCTTTGGGTCTCTCAGTCCTTTCTTCTTGTCGAAAGCTCTCGCTCCCTGTCCTGTCCCCTCGATTTTCACGTCCTGTCCTGTGTCACGGGTGTCTGCACATATTTGTCCTGGAGCTGCTCTGCCCTGCTGCCTAGCCTGTAATAGCACAAGTCCTGGGGACTTGAAATTGGTAATGCAGGGTGTATTTGGGCACAAACTTGTATCTGTTGATTGCCCTAACATTTTTGGTGCTGTTAAGTTGTCCTGCAGCAGTTTTACACTAGTCCTAACATCCTTTCAGATGCAGACAGTTCAAATCAGTGGCAGAAGGCCCCAGTCCTGGCTGAGGGTGTTGCCATGAGCAGGTCAGTCATTGTTTGCATTTGCAGGGGAAGTCTAAATGGTGACTGTGTTACAGCAGTGTTCTTTGCCTTTTTTTTAGGAGGTCCAGGCAGATAGCAGCAATCAAGGCCCAGTGTGCCAGGTGAGCAGTGGACAGAAGCAGTTGTTCTTGCTCAGGTCTCAATTTTTGGTGCAACTGTAAGCATCCATTCTTGTTTGTGTGCTTTAGGGAAGCCACTTGGAGTATGCCAAGCCCCTCTCACCAGCTGGCCGATGGACTTCCTGTGCTTGTGAGTCCTCTGGAAGTATTTCAGGAGTCTTGAGATGAAGCCTTGAAATTTTGTATTTCAAGATGGCATCTGGGTAGCCTTTGGCAATGGCCAAGGAGCTGTGGTGAGACGCCGAGGTAGAGAGGGGGAGCCAAGGTCCACTTTGGTTTCAGCAGTGCTGAGTCACTTTGTCTCTTCTTCACCCAGGCAGACCATGCGATGATGGTGGCAGCCTCTGAGCATTGCCAAAGTGTGGGGCCTGAGCAACCAGGCATTCTTAGGAGAATGGTGGGTAGCAGAATTGCTGGGTTTTGTCCATTGTGCAGATAAGATCATGCAGTGATGTTTGGTGTTCTTGATTGTAGCTGGGCAAGGGACCACAGCCCGGTGACCATAGGACATTCCCAGCAGGTGAGGCAGCCTCCATTCGCACGCAACATGGATTTTCATCCCCAGATAACCAAGAGATAAGTCAAGGGCTAAGGCCCACAGAGGGGATGTAAGTGAGGTGGTAGGAGGGCCTTTTGAATCAGCTGTGGGGGCCGGGGTGTGCAAGAAGTGTCCCTTTAGGCCACCTAAAGGGAAATGTTTCTTTTGATCACAGTGCTGAGGTGCGCTGGGCAGAGCAGTTCTGGTGTGTGTCCTGTCACTTCTCTCTGGTGCACACTGTGTTCTTTGGGTCTCTCAGTCCTTTCTTGTCGAAAACTCTCGCTCCCTGTCCTGTCCCCTCGATAGTCATGTCCTGTCCTGTGTCACGGGTGTCTGCACATAGTTGTCCTGGAGCTGCTCTGCCCTGCTGCATAGCCTGTAATAGCACAAGTCCTGGGGACTTGAAATTGGTAATGCAGGGTGTATTTGGGCACAAACTTGTATCTGTTGATTGCCCTAACATTTTTGGTGCTGTTAAGTTGTCCTGCAGCCGTTTTACACTAGTCCGTACTTCCTTTCAGATGCAGACAGTTCAAATCAGTGGCAGAGAGCCCCAAACCTGGGTGAGGGTGTTGCCATGAGCAGGTCAGTCATTGTTTGCATTTGCAGGGGAAGCCTGAATGGTGACTGTTACAGCAGTGTTCTTTGACTTCATTTTTAGGATGTCCAGGCAGATAGCAGCAGTGAAGGCCCAGTGTGCCAGGTGAGCAGTGGACAGAAGCAGTTCTTCTTGCTCAGGTCTCAATGTTTGGTGCAACTCTAAGCATTCATTCTTGTTTTTGTGCTTTAGGGAATCCTCTGAGGGTGCACATACCTCTGTCACCAACTGGCTGAAGGACCAGGTTTCATGCACTTGTGATCTCGCTGGAAGCATTGCAGGACCCTGTGATGGACCTTCCAGTTTTGCATTTCAAGGCCCCATCCTGGTAGCCCAGAGGAATGGCTGAGCTGTTGCAGTGAGTTAGGGAGATAGGGAGGAGGAGTGAGAGTCCACTTGTGTTTCAGCAATGCCATGTTGCCTTGTCTTCACTTAACCTAGGTGTACCCTGCAATGACGGCGTCAGAATCCAATCACGCCCGAAGCGTGCAGGCCAAGAACCCGGGCATTCTGAGGAGGACGGTGAGTAGCAGAATTATCAGGTTTTGCCAATGTTCTGTTAAGACTGTGCACTGATGTTTGGTTTTCTTTCTCTTGGCAGACCAAGAGGTGACAGCTATAACTTACCAGACAGGGAGATGCCCTTCTTCTGCAGCCAACAGGGATTTGCATCCCCAGATGCGTGCAAGATAAGTGGAGGGTCATGACCCACAGGGGTCATGAGGGGATAAAAGCAGGGTGCTGGGTTGGGCCTTTCTGGAAGGGCTTTTGATGTCTAAGAAGCGTATACTTAGTCCACCTAAAGGGAAAGTGTCTGTTTTGCTCTCAGTGCTGAGGTGCGCAGGGCAGAGCAGTTCTGGTGTGTGTCCTGTCACTTGTCTCTGGTGCACTCTGTGTTCTTTGGGTCTCTCAGTCCTTTCTTCTTGTTGAAAGCTCTCGCTCTCTGTCCTGTCCCCTCGATTTTCACGTCCTGTCCTGTGTCACGGGTGTCTGCACATATTTGTCCTGGAGCTGCTCTGCCCTGCTGCTTAGCCTGTAATAGCACAAGTCCTGGGGACTTGAGATTTGTAATGCAGGGTGTAGTTGGGCTCTAGCTTGTATTCCTTAATTGCCCTAACATTTTTGGTGCTGTTAAGTTGTCCTGCAGCTGTTTTACACTAGTCCTAACATCCTTTCAGATGCAGACAGTTCAAATCAGTGGCAGAGAGCCCCAGTCCTGGCTGAGGGTGTTGCCATGAGCAGGTCAGTCATTGTTTGCATTTGCAAGGGAAGTCTAAATGGTGACTGTGTTACAGTGGTGTTCTTTGCCTTTTTTTTAGGAGGTCCAGGCAGATAGCAGCAGTGAAGGCCCAGTGTGCCAGGTGAGCAGTGGACAGAAGCAGTTGTTCTTGCTCAGGTCTCAATTTTTGGTGCAACTGTAAGCATCCATTCTTGTTTGTGTGCTTTAGGGAATCCACTTGGAGTATGCCAAGCCCCTCTCACCAGCTGGCCGATGGACTGGGTTTCCTGCGCTTGTGAGTCCTCTGGAAGTATTTCAGGCCTCTTGAGATGAAGCCTTGAAATTTTGTATTTCAAGATGGCATCCGGGCAGCCTTTTGCAATGGCCCATGTGTTGTGGTAAGACGCCGAGGTAGAGAGGGGGAGCCAAGGTCCATTAAGTTTTCAGCATTGCTGTGTCACTTTGTCTCTTCTTCACCCAGGCAGACCCTGCGATGATGGTGGCAGCCTCTGAGCATTGCCAAAGTGTGGGGCCTGAGCAACCAGGCATTCTTAGGAGAATGGTGAGTAGCAGAATTGCTGAGTTTTGTCCATTGTGCCGCTAAGATCATGCAGTGATGTTTGGTGTTCTTGATTCTCGCTGGGCAAAGGACCACAGCCTGGTGACCACAGGACATTCCCAGCAGATGAGGCAGCCTCCATTAGCACGCAACATGGATTCTCATCCCCAGATGCCCGAGAGATAAGTCAAGGGCTAAAGCCCGCAGAGGGGATGAAAGCGACGTGCTGGGAGGGCATTTTGAATCAGCTCTGGGGGCAGGGATGTGCAAGAAGTGTCCCTTTAGGCCACCTAAAGGGAAAATGTTTCTTTTGATCACAGTGCTGAGGTGCGCAGGGCAGAGCAGTTCTGGTGTGTGTCCTGTCACTTGTTTCTGGTGCACTCTGTGTTCTTTGGGTCTCTGAGTCCTTTCTTCTTGTCGAAAGCTCTCGCTCCCTGTCCTGTCCCCTCCTTTGTCACGGGTGTCTGCACATATTTGTCCCGGAGCTGCTCTGCCCTGCTGCATAGCCTGTAATAGCACAAGTCCTGGGGACTTGAAATTGGTAATGCAGGGTGTATTTGGGCTCTAGATTGTATTTGTTGATTGCCATAACATTTTTGGTGCTGTTAAGTTGTCCTGCAGCTGTTTCACACTAGTCCTAACTTCCTTTCAGATGCAGACAGTTCAAATCAGTGGCAGAGAGCCCCAGTCCTGGCTGAGGGTGTTGCCATGAGCAGGTCAGTCATTGTTTGCATTTGCAAGGGAAGCCTAAATGGTGACTTTGTTACAGCAGTCGTTATTATTAGGATGTCCAGGCAGATAGCAGCAGTGAAGGCCCAGTGTGCCAGGTGAGCAGTGGACAGAAGCAGTTCTTCTTGCTCAGGTCTCAATGTTTGGTGCAACTCTAAGCATCCATTCTTGTTTTTGTGCTTTAGGGAATCCTCTCAGGGTGCACATACCTCTGTCACCAACTGGCTGATGGACCAGGTTTCATGCACTTGTGATCTCGCTGGAAGCATTGCAGCACCCTGTGATGGACCTCCCAGTTTTGCTTTTCAAGGCCCCATACTGGTAGCCCAGAGGAATGGCTGAGGAGTTGCAGTGAGTCGGGGAGGTAGGGAGGAGGAGTGAGAGTCCGCTTGTGTTTCAGCAATGCCATGTTGCCTTGTCTTCACTTAACCTAGGTGTACCCTGCAATGACGGCGTCAGAATCCAAGCACGCCCGAAGCGTGCAGGCCAAGAACCCGGGCATTCTGAGGAGAATGGTGAGTAGCAGAATTATCAGATTTTGGTCGATATGCTGTTAAGACTGTGCACTGATGTTTGGTTTTCTTTCTCTTGGCAGACCAAGAGGTGACAGCTGGAACGTAGCAGGCAGACAGGGAGATGCCCTTCTTCTGCAGCCAGCAGGGATTTGCATCCCCAGATGAGTGCAAGATAAGTGGAAGGTTATGACCCACAGAGGGGATGCAAGTGGGGTGCTGGGTTGGGACTTTCTAGAAGGAGTTTTCTTGTATGTTTTAGAGACGTAGATGTCCAAGAAGCATCTCCGTAGGCCACCTAAAGGCAAAGTGCCTGTTTTACTCTCAGTGCTGAGGTGTGCTGGGCAGAGCAGTTCTGGTGTGTATCCTGTCACTTGTCTCTGTTGGACTCTGTGTTCTTTGGGTCTCTCAGTCCTTTCTTCTTGTTGAAAGCTCTCGCTCCCTGTCCTGTCCCCTCGATTGTCATGTCCTGTCCTGTGTCACGGGTGTCTGCACATATTTGTCCCGGAGCTGCTCTGCTCTGCTGCCTAGCCTGTAATAGCACAAGTCCTGGGGACTTGAGATTCGTAATGCAGGGTGTATTTGGGCTCTAGATTGTATTTGTTGATTGCCCTAACATTTTTGGAGCTGTTAAGTTGTCCTGCAGCTGTTTTACACTGGTCCTAACATCCTTTCAGATGCAGACAGTTCAAATCAGTGGCAGAGAGCCCCAGTCCTGGCTGAGGGTGTTGCCATGAGCAGGTCAGTCATTGTTTGCATTTGCAGGGGAAGTCTAAATGGTGACTTTGTTACAGCAGTCTTTATTCTTAGGAGGTCCAGGCAGATAGCAGCAGTCAAGGCCCAATGTCCAAGGGGACCAGTGGACAGAAGCAGTTGTTTTTACTCAGCTTTCAGTTTCTGGTGCGATTCTAAGCATCCTTTCTCATTTCTGTGCTTTAGGGAATCGACTCGGAGTGCTCATACCTCCATCACTAACTGGCCAACGGACCGGTGCCGGGAGCGTGGCTTCTCGTTTTCCAGCCT